CGCAGTTGGGTCTTAATGGCTTCCGCGGCCATTGTGTGTCTGATCATGTTGCGGTGAAATTTTGAACAGTCGGACGTGTGCAGTGAAAAGGTTTCGGGCAGGAGATACCCGACACACCCGGAAAACCTTTAACAAAGCCTCCTGTTGGAGTGCCCGAACAACCAAGCAACGTTTTGGCTTTTAAATCCGTCGATTCGAAACCGTAAAAAACTTAAACCCGAAACCCCCAGGCTGGCCTACAGTCATGGAGAAGGGACCGGTCGTGCCATTCAGCGACAGGCATAAGGAGTAGTTGCCCACCACCTGGATTTTGGTGCATGTGGTTTAGGCCCGGTTTCAAGCCTTTTGTTTCAAGTTTGGGCGTTAATGTTGAAACATGAACTCCTTCATCTGAACTTTCTGTTCACGTCGCCCTAAAGACGGAGAGGGGTGTGGCAGTATGCTCTATTCTTGGTGATTAAGTCATTCAGGGCTTCGACATCAAAGCCCCAGTTCGAAACCCGAAGCTCTGGGCCCTAGCATGGAGCACGGTGGTTTGGGTGCACGAAGCTACGGCTGAACTTACCAGGGTCGCCCTTTCCCTGGAAGCCCGCAAGTCCTTAGACCAGAAATTCTCCAGGCAACTCACCACAGAAAACCTTCAAAACAGACTCAAGATCTAAAGGGACCGACAACGCATATAAGTAGCGCCTACGCGGAGTGAGCTCCTAATCCAAACCCTCGGTCGTAAACCAAAACCAATGAACCCCCCTGAGCCCCTCAACATGAGTCTTACAGACGTGTGAGTGCTGTAGAGCCCTTCTAGTAACACAACAGAACCCGCATACACAACCTTGAATACTTGGGTGCCGACCATCTCCGTCTCACTCACCGTCTCGGCCAAGGGGGTTCGAAGGTCGAAGGCCAGCATGGTGGAGTTCTCCACGGGCGATTGGGGCACCTGGGTTTGGGACTTTCGGGGCTGTGGGACGGCCTAGTAACGAATACCCCTACACTGTACACCCTGAACCGCTGAGGTGATGCAGTTCGTGGAAACCCTGGTGATAGGGGTGAAGCTTCCACCACCGCAGAAGTGTGGCACCAGAAAAGCAGGAAGGTACTGCGAACCAAAGAACTGGCTCGGGGATTTACGCTAGTCTAGGTTTCGGTTTGAGCTGCCAAATCCGAAGCTTTGGGTGCCGAGCCTTGGAGTTCCGATAAGGCTCCATATCCAAACAAACTGAACCGGTACGGTCTAGCAGTTTCGGCCAGGCACACATTACATCAAGACTCACTCAGAGATGTTCCTGGTCCTAATTAACTTAAACCCAGAGCTTCCTAGCTTGGGGACCCTAGGTACAGAGTTGGCTGCCGTGGACAAGACCGAAAAAAGTCCGACAACACCGTTTCGGTGTGGAGTGAATGTCTCTGTCAGGCGACATAGAAAAGTTTATGGTTTAGTGCACTCCTGAAGTTTTAATGGCTCCAGGCATCCTAAACTCCAAAACATCGGAAAGCTTCTAAACTGACACCAGCCGCACCTCGACCCGTCAACTCGAAACCCGAAACCCTGAGCAACTTGCGCCCCAACTGCTTTAAGACCCCTAAACCGAAAGGGCAGAACCCTGAACGGAACCCTTTGAGCCCCAAAGCCCTGAACTCATCATCCAAAAACCCTACGCCCTTTTGTAAAAACGCTGACGCTCAAAGCCCTCAACCTTTCTACTCTTGAAACCCTTAAACCTTAACCCTGGAAGCCAAAGGCCAGGGCCGGATTCGAAAGGTTGCTCCAAAGGGGTGCCGGTACGCCCGAGCCTTTCTGACGCTAAGTGTAGGAGTGCCTTTTGGCTGAGTACAGGCTAAGGGGATGCTTGAAAGGATTTAGACCTGTAGGGGGTACGACGTGGGGCGTAGACTTTTTGGGTTGCCGACCTCGGAGGTGGGGTCCGATTCCAGGCAGGGTTTGGGTCTCTTGGGCATTGGGTCTCGATGGCGTGGGCGCGAAAAGTTCAAGAGTTCATGGCTCAGCGTTCTGGTTTCCATGATGGGATGCAAGGCTCTCAGGTGCTCAGGAGTGTGGAGTGTGAGGCTAACGCGTCCAAGGAGAGGTTAACAGTCGATGCCAGCTGGTTAATTATTTTCCTAACGCTTGCTGGTATTCGAAATCCAAACGCCCAGCAAAAGCCGAAGCTCCGAGGTCCGGCTCGAAAGAGTGTGACTCAATCCTCAACCTTCCCGAACTTCGGGGTTCGTGGCTCAGGCTTGGAGCACCAAAGAATCTCTGTTTTGTTGAAGCCTAAACCCTTGTTCCCCAGTCTGTGCGACCCGGACAGGACCCGCTCTTCTCCAGCTGCAAGTACGTCTGCGAGTCGAAACCTTCGGAAAGCGACCTTTCGGGCATCAACAGAAGAGGCAAATGGGGCACAGAAAAGGGCCACACGAAAGGGTCGCGCCACTGGAGTCTAGTAGAACGCGAATACACATGTGTTTTTGTGTGGGTGTGGGGGCGAACAGCATTGTGGGTGCAGCAGGCGTTGGTTCAGGTGTTGATGTTGCTATAGGGGTTTTGAGCTGGTTGGTTTATGTCTCGACCGAGATTTGCAATGTATGGAAGCCTGTATGTAGCCCGAAAAATCGCATCTGAATGATAAATCTGACAAATGCTCAGCTGGGCCGCTATGCCTTCTGAGATTCTGGGTACGTGAGGGAAGACCGGAAACTTAACATCCACATAAAAAGCAACGAAGTCCGAAGAACCCAAACTCCGTCTTTTAACCGATAATTCAGCTGTAGGGAAATAGGATTTACGGCACACATTAGCCAAGCGATGCCCAAACTCCTCGAACCGTAACCAAGGCTCTGCAAACAAAACCGTGACGTGCATACGTTTCGAAGGCGTAACTTGCGCAACCAACCCCAAATCTTAAGACATGTATGTTCCAAACCAGTATAGGTCCCGCACCCCACCATGGAGCCGAGAGTGAAATTGCAAGTCTCGTTGAGGACGCACATGACATGGGTGCCCGCGTCCACCTGACTGCGGAAAGATACAAACGATTTTATCCCAGGCCTCAGCTTCCGCCTAAACACAAACGCGTGCACATGCAAACGTTACATCCAACACTACGTCCCCGAACCGTAAAGCAAAACCGCCAACACAAATCTAAGGTTCCAGGCTGAAAGGTTCGCATTACTCCGGGACCCCAAGTATTGTGGTTGTCGCTGCATGGCAACCCATTGGGCATCCTGAACATATTGTCCTGAACCGCAAATCAACCGATTGAACTCTGACTCCTCCGACCGGGCCCGGTGCTGGCCCAAAAACCGATAGCCTGGGACAAAACTGCAGAGATCATTTTTGGGTGCCATGTTTTGCCGTTTGGGGTCTAGCTTGATACAGTTCAAGTCTAATGACTTGCAGTAGCGGATACAAAAAAGGGGAACGCTCTGGATGCGAGTTCATACTCCGAAACGGGTCTCGGACTTCGCCACAACACTTGACCTTTGGAGACGGTGAAAGGTAAAACAATTCAATCTGTTTTAACATCAACCGCCGTGAAGCTCATGAGATCGATGTGGCTGCTTCGTTTTCGGAACAACGACGGAGATAGATGTAACGGTGCAATTTGTTCGAACCTAATTTGCCAATCCCCAAACCCCAACCCAAATGGAATCAAACTGAGTGCCGGCGTCAACAAAGCCGGAACATTCCAAATCCTTCGTCCCAGGCATTTGAAGAAACTCATACATTTGAAGAAACTCATACATCATGTCGTCATTCCATCAGATCGCCAACGTTTACTTGTGACATGTATAAGGCTGCGGTTCCAGTCATCAGGAACAATGAAATCTACGAGCTGCCAAAGCGACAACAACCCCAATACGAGAGTTAACAGTTACAACGCAAGAGCCAAGGTGTATGTTTTCCATCAAATCGTCTGAGCGTTTGCTTCAACTCCAGTGAATTCCAAATCTTCATAGGCCTAACCTAGTACAAGGCCCACCAAGGCATCAAAGCAGTCATATTGTGGCAGATCTGAAATCAAACACTAATGGAATAATGGAATGGTTAGCCTAACACCGGAGGTAAGATATGCGTGCATACATCTATTTGTCTATACACGTACCGATGAAAGTCAAAGATTGCCAGAACGATCTCAGAAATAGAAGAAAGCCCAAAAACCTGCACATGAGCCAAGCAAGACGCTTGGGTCTATCGGTCCCGGTCCCTCCGTTTCGTCTTCGTTTCTCTATCTGTTTGCTTGCTTGAAGGCGTCTCTGGGTGTGAGATGTCGCTCGCTCTCTCTCCCTGTCACAAAACAGCAGCACTTGAGCTCTCTCAGTTTTTCTGGGTCTCCCGCAGACGCAGATCTCTCGGTCTCCGCGTCTCTTTGTCTTTGTCTTTGTCCGTGTCTCGCTCTCTCTCTCTCTCTCTCTCGCTCTCTGTCTGTCTCGCTCACTCTCTCTCTGTTTCTGCCTCTGTCGGCCTCGGCCCTGCCTCTGCCTCGTCTCGGTCTCTGTCCCTGTCTGTCGCTGTCGCCGTAGCTGTCTCTGTCTCTGTCTCTGTCTCTGTCTCTCTCTCTCTCTCTCTCTCTCTCTGTCTGCCTCTGGCTGTAATGTGTCTGTCTCCGTGTCTGTCTGTGTCTATGCCTTATTGACAAGCGGCCACTCCGGTCGAAGTCACTCTATGCAGCGTTCGCCGTTTTTTTGTCCTCGCCATTGTCTCGCGAGCTCTGCCAAAAAGTCAACTAGTCCCACGCGGGCCCTGCTCCGGAAGAGTTGCACTGCAAAGTCGTTTGCACATCAAAGCGCAGGGATGCTGCAATGAGTTACGTTGCCGAAGCAACTTTCCATCCAAAGTGCATCTTCGGAAGTTGCCTCAGACAAATGGACTCTCTTTGATTCGTAGGGGACCCAAACGCACAAGCATGTCAAGCCAAAACGAGCCGACACACAAAGCTGGCACACTGCATGGTAGAAAGCCACAGACGAACGACAAGCTCAAAAGGAACCTGGGAGCATCAGCGGTGCCACATCTGCCGCATGAGCCACTGTTGGACAACCCAGAAGGCCGTTCTGCGCGCCTGCGACATTTCGGATGCCGGATATGGGGCGTGGTGCAAACACACTTAAGGATCAATGAACATTGTCCAAACTAGCACTATTCACGGGTGACTTCTCAATGACAGGATAGAAACGATGGGTTCACAAGCCTCGGTGGGAATGTCTGTTTTAAGAGTCTTTGGACTGACGCGCCTCCCAGCGAAGGTTGTCGCGAAAGTCTCGATCGGCATAGCTGGCATGGTGGGCAATGTACAAGGCCGCCAAAGTAACAAGTACCATCGAGCGGTTGGCTGCCATCCAGCGCCAGCGGACCTGGAAAGTCCAAACAAGCGATGTGGGGCATGGCACATACAAACTAAGGATCATGAGCATTGTCCAAAGTTGCACTGTTCACCGGGTGACTCTTTTGTGACTAAGATAGAAACGATGGGTTCAGGAGCTTAGGTGGGAATGTCTGTTCCAGAAGTCTTTGGTTTCAGGTGCCTCCCAGCGAAGGTTGTCGCGAAAGTCTGGATCGGCGTATATGGCACGTCTCTTGTGGGCAACGTACAAAGCCGCCAAGGTAACAAGTACCATCGAGCGTTTGGAAGCCATCCAGCGCCAGAAGGCCTGGAAAGTCCAAACAGCCACTGCCATCGTAGGATTCATGGTCGGCAACAGCTGTTGAACTACAAAGAGGCGAAAAAGTGCACCGGTGTCTCGGGAACTTGCTAACTCCAAACAGATGATGGCAGCAGGCAGGAAAATGGTTTGCACTCCGTCTGTTGCTCTGAAGGAATATCAATATCTCGATTCCTCTTGATCCCCTATGCCATACCTAACGGTCCCGATACATCATCCTCAGTACATATTGCTTATCTCCCAAACCCAAGCCCCAAAGAGCCGGACCCTACGGAGCACATCCCAATGTTTATCCCAGAAACCGGGTTTCAAAGTGGAGCCAAATTGGGTTTCAAAGTGGAGCCAACAAGGAATGGAGTTTCTGTTCAGGACTCAATAAGGTTCAACGATTTAGGTTGGGCCCTGTTTCATATGCATAGTTGTGACTCCGAAACTTAAACCGTGAAGCTCCGACCTTGGAAAGCAACTTCACTCAGACTTACGGCTTTGAAAACGTCACGGCATCACATGTGGCCACCCAGCCCAAAACTTCAAGGACCGGACCGCAAAACCCTTAGTACGCGAACTTCCTACACTTGACAGGAGGCTCCGCTCTGAGTCCCAGGCGTGCCGAAGTCAAGGCCAGTCGCAGACTCCGTGGCAAGCCAGCAGACAGCCTCGCTTAGACGCTGGTGTCTTCAACCCCAACATCCTGGACCCCAAGCGCGGAAGTCCTTCCTCCCCCGCCGTTTCCCGCGGAGCAGGGCTCGAAGTCACGAAGTCCAAGCAACTCTCACACTGACACCGCAAACCGTGCCTCTTGCGAGGGGCCCTTCTTCAGATCTTTATAAAAACATTTCCGGAAGCAGTGATCTGAAAGCAACCTTATATACAGCCCCCATCATGGCATACTACAATATGCCCCCCAACCCTATTGATGATGGCTTCTCACATAAAACCCTATCAAATCTTGCAAGACAGGATCAAACACTACTCTAGTTACTCAGGACTCGATAGTAGTCACGAGTCCTTTGCTGCTTTGGGCAACGGCCCAAAACGTTTGGCAGGAGGCCCTGAGCGAGTGAACAGCGCCAGGGGTCTGATAGCTTTCCGTCTCGCACTAGGAGCCCGGAAGCAGGGATTTTGAGGGTCGGTCTAGGCCTCCCACGGATTTTTTTAGGGTTTCAAACGGGGCAATAAGGGTGGGCAAAAGAATGATTTGGGCCACGGCAAAAGCAGTGAAGCTCGCTTGTGTCGCCGTGCCAAGGGCCTTGCAAAGCAGGAGTGCTGGCACAAGTAGTGTAACGGGATATTGAGCTGAGAGTTGCAAGTTTGCTTCGGCTTGCGGAATCTGCGGCTTGAAAGGTCTGTATTGGAGGTCTTTTGACGATCAAGGCAAGAGATCCAAGTCTTCTCCGAATCTTGCGCTGGTTTCGAGGCTTTCGTTGCGGCATCAATCTACAGTTTGATGTGACCTTCAAACGACTCTGCCTCCCGAGGGTGGGGTACCGGCGCAAGTTGCATGATGAAGATGATTGAAAAGGAAACGTTGCCAAAGAGCTCTTGCCTTGAGGATGTATGATTTCAACTGGCTCGCCCGCAGCCACCTCTAAATCGTAAAGGGGCATCACGACCCCAACTGCATCCAAACTCTGAACCTGCATCTCTTAATCAGAAATGCACCTTTAGCATAAACGCCCCCAAATCATAAGCCCCAAGCCGCATTTGAAGATCAAAGGCCCAACTCGCAGAGAGCTCGCAACGGGAGTCTCATGTCCAGGTTCCCCAGTAAACTGCATTAAGAATACCGGCGCCTGACCTACAGTCCGGCTTTAAGACCATTTTTTGCACGTAGGATTCCACCAAGGTCTTGGTCTTGGTGAACACTGAGGGAGCTGCCATCATCACCCGTGCTCCAGGATTCAGACAGTGCGTTGTAGTACCCTCAATCTGAGACCCTGATGTCACAAATGTCAAGTCAAAGGTCCGCATTTGTCCGTATGCCTCAAGTTGCTCAACACCTCCAACTCGAAGCCCCACGTCCAAGCCCGCCGATGTGGCAAACTGGGTCTCTGCACGTAGGTCGTTCCCTCGCTCGTAGTCACCTCTGACAGTGGTTGTCTGCCCATCGGCCCATCATCACTGTCCATGCTTAAGTTATTGCTGTTTACAGACATCGTAGTAGCTGCAGCAGCAATAGCAACAGCAACGGCCGCAGTAGTCTTCGTCGCAATACAAGAAGGATCAACATAAACTTAGTGCGACTCGTATTCGAGCTAGTGCTAGTACCAGCAGCTGAAGCTGGTGATAGTCGTATGTACAACGATTCTGTCTTAATGATATTTCTACTGCAATTGATATGCTTACCTTTTTATTCGTGGTAGTAAAGGTCGCCGCGGTCGTAGTACTCGTCGTCGTAGTAGACGTCTTATTAGTAGCAGCAGCAGCAGCACCAGCAGTAGTAGCAGGAGGAAGAGGAGGAAGGGCCTAGAAGGGGGCCAGATCGTGCGGTGAGGATGATGATCATCAGCGCCATCACGCAGGACTTCCTTCTCTTCGAACATATTCAACTTCGGGGCACTGAGGCGCCCGCCAGGCTGGTGAGGCCCGGAAGCGACATCAGGGACCGGTTGCTGCCTGGTAGCACGTCCGGAAACTTGATTGATAGTCCATAGTGGCTGCCAAAGAAGTAACTGTTTCGGATGGCGCCTGAAAACTAATCTAGGCTTTAGGGTCTAGGGTTTGGGGTCCGGAGATGGAATTCCAGATGCACAAAGAGCACCAGCACGATGGGCTAGAAGGGGTTCGAGTTTGGACAGCAAGCGGCAAACTTTTGCCTTCTGCCAACTGCAGAAACATGATGCGCGGCTCCTGAAACTTGAACCTCCGACTGCGAACCCTTCAAACCCCAATCGCGGAAAAAGTTTCAAACCCTTACTCTACAACCTAGGGTCCCTGTCTTGGAAAACTGCAATGGGAGCCCAATAGAAAAGGTAAGGAAGGATATGCTGCTCCCTGGGAACCAGTACCAGGGCTAGGAGCTCTAATCGGGAACAAGCCAGCCCGAGTTCAGATTGTGGGGCCTGCGAAGGATCTGGAGCCCACAGATACCCGCGAATATCGGGGCAAAACAGCAACAAGACCAATGCCCCAATGCCTTCCTTCCAATCTACAGAAACATACTTCCACCTCTGTTGCTGCTAAAGGGAATGCGCATGATAGTCTCTCGGCACCCGGCTGTTGCAAGCACCCTGTCGCACAGGAGTTTCAGGGAGTTCCGGATGGGAAACCGTTTAGGACACAGACAGCGACTCGGCAATTGGTCTCGGGTTCCTGATGAAGGGAGTCGGTGTAGGCCCAGGATTCGCAACTTGGTGGTTCAAGTCCGGGCTTCGTCTGTTTGATCGGGGTCTTGGGCTTACTCGTGGTGTTGGGGTTGTGGTTCTGGAATGTACTCGGAAATTGGGTTTTGAGCTCGTAAGTCACGACATCCCAAAACCTACTGTAGCTGCTGGGTTCTCCTGGCCGGAAAAAGCAAAACGGACCCTAGGATTGCTACAGTAGAGCACAACGTGGCCAAAAGGCCAAAGGTTAGCTACGCAGCTCCCAATACGACCCTGCGAGGGCCCGGATAACCCGAAGCCCCAAACCGTTCGAGACCTCTGTGATCTCCAGCTGGTTGTCCGAAGAGAGACCAAGCCCGGCTACGGCCTCAAGACAGCTTAAAGTTGGAGGTTAGGACTGCCGGGTTTTTAGGTTTGGGCTTCGAGGTTTGGGCTGTAGCAGGGTTTGGGACAGGCCGTAAGGATCAGAGGCGAAGGTCAAAATCAGAGATGTTTTCGGGCAGATCAAGTACATGTTTTGAGAGTTTTCATACGAGCAATACCGCCTGATCCGTCTAGAGGTTTACATAAGCGTCCCCGATGTTCTGAAACTGCTCACCTCAAAACGCAGATGAGTCAACGCTCATGTTACCAGTATTTCTAGCTTTCCTGTCCGATCTTGTTATGAGACACGCGAAACGCGCAGGAATACGTAGTACAATTTAAATGCGAGCCCCACATGTGCAATATGTACAGACCATGCACCGTAAGCTCTAAAGAAGCAGCTAGAAACCCGCTTCTGAGGAGTTGGAGCTCATATTTTGGTCCCCCATTGCATAACCAACATAGCAGCTCAGCGAGTGTCTTCGGGTTAGCTGATATTGCAGGGAGCCCTCCACCAACGCTGGGGCGCAGACGATCTCGCAAGGGAAGCCCACCCAACACCTGCTGAGGACAGGGAGATAAACTCAGGGTGTTCAGGATGTAAGGTTCCGGCGCTCTAAGTCGAAATTCGTGGCTGCACAGACTCATTAAATGTTCGGAATCATTTTGTAAGCGGTGGTGGAGGGCTTAGTCCTGAATACAGGCTGCAAAAGTCATGGTAACACCAATTTGCAAGACCTGCAAATACAAAGGGTCCTATGGTCAGGAATTTAGGCCTCTAAGGCTCAGCGTTCTGAGGTTAAGGGCAATACGGCGACTCAATACGGTATAGGGTCATGTAGGGCTTGTGTATTCAGGGTGTAACATGGCTTTGGGTCCTTCAGGGTTGGCACTGCAGGATTTGGGATTCATCAACGAAAGCACGATGCCTGAGATAGCATGTAGCATTCGGGTTCGGCTTCCCGGAAGGCTGCAAAGTAAAGTGGAGACAGTTGGAGGGTGTGAGGAAACGGCTTCGCCTTTTACACTTGTTGTTTCTGGATTGGGATTCGGGAGTTTGGGGTCCCCCTTGTCCCAGTCCAAAACCGTCGTGCCTGAAGACGAAAGGCCCGTCCGCGTTGAGGTAAGGTCCGTTCATGACCAGCGTGCCTGTGTGAATCACCTCAAAGTCACACATTGACATGTGTTCAGGGTTTGGCATTTGGTTGCTTAGATGTTTGGGTCGAGGAGATTCAGGATCAGCATCACCCGAACTACACGACTGAAAGCAACTCATCACTCATGAATCTGTTTCTTGACGTCCAGGAAACCGGATAAACCCAATATGCAAAATAGAAATTC